CCTCCCAGCTCACCTCCCACTCGCTCCTCGCTGGCCTCCGCCAATTGAATTTCCTACCATGTGCCTACAGAGGGTGGCGTGGAGGAAGCGGGAGGTGAGCTGGGAGGCAAGTGGCTGAAGAAACCCAGCCAGCTCAAGCTCCTGGCACTGGGCGACCACTGCTCCCGCTGCGGCTAGGGGTGAGCGGTTGAAGAAACCTGGCCATGCTCAAGCCTCTCGGCGGTGGCGGTCACAGCAGCAGTGGAAGCCTGGGAGGCTGAGGAGGCTTTGGATGGGTAAGGTGCTCCTTTTTTAAAAAAAAGTTGTTCTGGTTGGGTTTTGGAGGGTAGGTTGCGCTGGGAGGGTTATGTTTCTCTGTGTTTTTTTTGGGTGTTTGGTTTTTTTCTTTTCAGTCCCAGCATGGGACTTGCTCCAATGTTTATTTTTGGATTTGTTTGTTTTTTGTTTTCTTTCTTTCTTTCTTTTTTTTTTTTTTCAGTCCCAGCATGGAACTTGCTCTGTTTATATTTAGTTTTTTGTGGGTTTTTTGGTATTTTTTTTTCTTCAGCCACAATGGATTAATCAGTTTTCAATGCATTCCTATGGGAAATGGTGCTTCAACTTACGAAAATTTCAACCTACGTAAAAAAAAAAAGTTGTTCTGGTTGGGTTTTGGAGGGTAGGTTTGTGCTGGGGGTGTTATGTTTCTGCGTGGTTTTTTGGGGGGGTTGGTTTTTTTTTCCAGTCCCAGCATGGGACTTGCTCCAATGTTTATTTTTGGATTTGTTTGTTTGTTGTTTTCATTTTTTTGCAGTCCCAGCATGGAACTTGCTCTGTTTATTTTTAGTTTTTAGATATTTAGTTTTTTGTGGGTTTTTTGGTATTTTTTTTTCTTCAGCCACAATGGATTAATCAGTTTTCAATGCATTCCTATGGGAAATGGTGCTTCAACTTACGAAAATTTCAACCTACGCCCACCATTCCAATACGGATTAATTCCGTAAGTTGAGGCACCACTGTATTGTCTCAGTCGTATCTGGTTTCTGGTAGTGATTTCAAACATTCAGAGTATTTCACATGCATTATATAGTTGTAATCCTTGCAACAACTCTATAAGGTATGTGGCGACAGAATTTAGAGGAAAGTAGCTCCTAGGTTAATGGCTAAGATGAAACTTGAATCCCTGATTCATCACATTTTCTCTTTGCCACAAAATTATGTACAAATATTTTAAGTTTATCAACATAAATCAAAGAAATTCAGATGGCTGTGCAGTAGACTCAGAACACACTGTTCCCTTGTTATATTGCCATAGTTTTGGCAAACATTAAATCCCTCTGATTGTTCACAAGATTTTATTGCTTAAGACAGGGCAATAGGGAATAGTACACGAACAGTACACGTGACGTGTTCTTCCCTTAGTTTAAAGGTAGAAGGTCATGGAAATTAACGTTTTGCTTCGCTAGCTGGTTGCGGAGTTGTGATAAGCTCTCCTCATTTGTATAATTAAAATAAGAATGGCGGAAAGATGCCTTTACTCATCTCTTTGATGTCTCAGTGTTTGTGCAAGCCTGGTATGTCTGTGCCCGATCAAAAGGTATGTTCCTGTTAAGTGACTGTTTAGTTTGGCATCTTCTTCTCCAGGTACGTATAAGATTTGTATGAGGATGTTATAAAGGATGTGAAGCAACATGTAACTTAGCTTCAGAAAAGAACCTCTGATTTCTACCACATAAAAATGTGGATTAATATGAAAAAAGTGCTTGAAAGTTTGCCACATTTCTGTAATTCATTTCCTGTCTTATAAAATAAAAGCACTGCAAAGATTATTGCACTGAAACCTTACCTGCAGTGGTGAGGGGGACGGAGCTATGTACAAAGTTTCATTGGACTCAGTGGGACTAACTTTCAACTAAACATGTTTTGGGCTGGCTGTATGTTGTGTTTTACATATGCATATGTACTTGGGATTATGGCCTAGTAAATATATTTGGGCTCATTTTTGAATCAACATGCAGAGGCTTAGGAAGGTTTTAGTACAAACCCATGTGTGCATACTAATTCAGAAGTAAGTCTGCTTTCATTTTGCTTCTCTTTCCCTTTCATAGTGGTGTTAAGTATTTAGGCAATGAAAATTATTTCTTCTAATCCCTTTTCCTAATACAAATGTATGGCATTGTGAGATGCCACTGGAAGTCTGAGCGAGGGAAGGAAGTTACATTCTTTTTGATTTGGGGACTGTAAATGTTTTAGAGTAAGATTCAGTTCAGCATTGAGTTAGGAGACTGACAGTATCCCCATTGTCTAAGCTCAAACACCTAGATTATCAGTTCTCTGTATTTTTAATTATTTATATGTGCTTAAGTCACTTGATTTCAAAATTGTCATTAAGAGTGGTAATGCTGGTAAGGCTGCACCTGGAGTATTGCATACAGTTCTGGTCACCGCACCTCAAAAAAGACATCGTGGAACTGGAAAAGGTGCAGAAGAGAGCGACTAAAATGATGCCTGGGCTGGGGCACCTCCCTTTTGAGGAAAGGCTACAGCGTTTTGGGGCTCTGATGGGGGCATGATTCAATAGTAACCAATAATTCAAGAACCTAAATAGACAGCACAAAGAGAAGTGGTGATATTTTATGTAATTTTAAAAGCATCATTTGAAAATGATGTTTAGATCAAGCTGAACAAACTGAAGGGAAAAGGATTTCCACTTATTTTATCGTCCAAAGAATAGATAATCAAGCCCATCTTTTAATACTTTGCCAGTCTTCTAGGTCAAGCATGTTTTTTCAGTCAAAAGGTGGGCCAAATGATTGAAGTTAGGAAAGTTTGCCAATGTTTCAGGATGCTGGCATCAGTTCTAAGTCAATGACAAGTATGGCAGTATTTCACAATGGCTACAAGATTTTACAGTGTGCAACAGGTAAATCATTAGTGGGGGAAAAAGTGATTGAAGGAACTTTTAATGACTCTACTTGTGTGTAGAGCCTTGATGCTCAACCTCGCTGAATTATAGTAAGACTCAGGATTACAGCCAGTGTTCTGTGCTTTGGTTTCCCATCCACTGTCTAGTTGCCCACAGATGGAGGGGAGGGAACTAAAACACACCTGGCATCTCCTCCTGCAGCAGCACAGCTTTAACTCCCTGCAGCTTAGCCCTCCACCATGCATTAGGCTGCAAATATCACTGTCTTGCAAGAGGAGCCCGGCTTCTTCTAGGGTGTCTAGGTCTTCCAGTGAGGATAGCTATGCTAGCAAGGAAATTACAACTTGTCAAGCCCTTGCTTCCAATTCTACAGTATGGCACTTACTTTCTTCCTTCATTTCAGATGGTTGGTGACAAGATGTACAGTGGTTACCTGCATTCATTGTGGCTGGGGTGGGGCGTTGGTGTTGGCGGCTGGGTTTGACCGCAGGCAATAAGGGAAAAGATCTAAAAGCTAGGAGGGTATTTTTAACAGTGTGAATATTCCGCATAGAATCAGGCTGTGCTTTTTGGACCATAAAAATAATGTGAGGAATTGCGCTGTGCTTTGCAAGCAACAAAACCATCGTTTTCAGCTCCTAAAAGGTGAAAATGCCTAACATGAATGATATTGCTGCCTTTCAGCCCAGAACTTGTGTTTCATGTGCAGAATGTTCCAGGTTCAGTTGCTGGCATCTTTAGGCACCATTAGGAACTATTCCTGTTTGAAACTTTGGAGAGGTTCTGTTACTATTTCCTTGCACGTCAGGAATCAGAAGATGTTTCCTCTGTTTAAAACCAACAGGATATAAACAGCTGGATGGTGGGGTTACAGATCACTGGCCCTGATACGGGTGGCAAAGAGGTGGCAGTTGTATTAATTATTGTGTTCCCTGAAGTCCATTCTGCTTACAGTGACCCTTTTCAGAGTTTTCTAGAGAGCATTCAAGAGTGGTTTACCATTCCCTTCTTCTGGGGGCTTCCTGGGACTGTGCAGCTTGTCCAAGGCCACACAGGCTGCCTCTTCTGGGATGCACAGCAGGGAACTGAACTCCTAACCTCTAAAGACCAGATTCCTAGAACACAGGAATGTGATCATTTCTGAAAAAAAAATTTATGTGTTGACCATCTGCTAGTACCTTATCAGTCCACATTGCAACAAATAAATTCTTCCCATTGAATGGACCTCTTTTTTTTAAAAAAAATCGTCATGTGTGTTAATATTGACTAGTAAAAGGCAGTGCAATTGATTTACCTTTCTACTCTCACTTGCTTATAATAGCTTATTTCAAACCACCACATGTGATCTCAGCTATGGTTTTAACTGGATTTTAAACTCCTAACCTATTTACTTTATTGTGCTTTGCTTTATTTGTGTATCTATTTAATTGTTAGTGTTTAATGAATGTTTATCTGCACCCTGTCTGTAAAGAAAATAAATCCCTACACTACAAGAAGGATGTAGTCTACATTTTAAAATGCTTTTGGCTTATCTGACTTGTTCACCTCTAAAAAAAAGGTTGTTTCTGATGATCACTGGAAGAAGCCCCAAGATGAAGAAAGAACAGATGCTCCAAGAGTCGCCACTAGAAGATGGGGCTCTGGAAAAAGATCTCGGCCTCGACCCCTCTCAGATTATGGTCAGCTATCAATTAGGAGCTTCTCAATCCCAGAGGATTCCATTGCTGTGGAGTCTCAGCAAGTGGACTGTGTGGATGATGACAGTGAGCCTAGATCATCTTTAGATGAACCAGGAACCTGTGCAGTAGCCAACCAAAGAGGACGCAAAAGAAGACCCATCTCTGTCATTGGTGGGGTCAGTTTCTATGGGACCAACCAAACAGAAGAAATAACAGATCTCCTTGCACAAGTAAGACATGAAATCCTCTATCTGTGAAACTCAGTCGAAAGACCATCTTCCTTCTTTGCCTGTAACCTTCAAATTAGAAAATAGTGGACACTCCTTTCCTTCCTTCTGTTTCTCCCAAATCATCATCAATTACTACTATTCTAAAAGCATGATATAAGATTAACTAATATTAATATATGGATGATTCTTGTTTTGCACTGTATATTACCATCTTCCTTCCTTGAATGCTCCTTGTATGAGATTTGCAATTATTTTCTGTTTATCTGTTTGTACTTCTGGGTGACCGATTCAATAAGAGATACAGTTGCATATAGATTACAGTATTAATAAGACAACAGTGTTTTTAATCCTTTGAAAAATGTTCTATAATTGGAATTATGTAGAAGCGTTTTTTCCCTGAGATTTGCACAAAAGATTTAGAAAAAAATATTGCAGCTTTCAAAACAGACTCATATGATTAATATCAAAGTGGAGCCTGACTAGACTTTGTTAACATTGAAACTGGCCTTCAGCTTTTGCCAAATTATTAGGTGAGTTCATTTTGTCATGACTGGCACTGTGTAAATGAGCCTTTTGAAGGACTTGTTAAATATTTCACTTAGAACTGCACTGTGCATGTTTCCAGTGGGCATTTTTTATTTAGCGCACTCCTGTCTGCTTTGAATGTTCTCTAGCCAAAAAAAAGTTGATTTTCACCTTGGAAAAATAAATAGGAATTTTGATTTCAGGAGGGCTGCAGCATGACTTCTGAAATATACACAACTTTGCTTTTTTTGATGGACCTTTAACTTCATATAACACTTCTTGCAGCAGTTTATAATTAAAACCTTATTACTGTGTCCTATGAATATTGTTTCATTATTTTACAGATTTTTTTTAGGTTACCAGCAAAATGAAAGGATTTTTTCCTCCTGAATCTGTTTTTCTTTTTCTTTTTCTTTTTGCTGCACACAATATATTTAAAAAGGGGAAAGGGAGATTCTCTCACACATATGATTCCTCTGCACATGCTGTATACAGGGGTGCAGGTGTCATTGAGTAAGCTTGTTGTTTGTATTGATACTTTTAAAAACTGTATTCTTCCTAAATGTAAGTATGCTTTGTTTAAAATCTGAAGATGTATTTCAAAGGTACAGGAACATTTTGGAGGGGTGATTTTTTTTTTGCTACTATGAGTGCTAAAAATGAGGAAAATGGATGATCAAGGCTTAGATTTTATTTAACAGAAGAGTATCAAGTACTTTGAAAGGAAGTGGGCTGAAACTCTTGCAGTAAAACTAAAGTGCTAAATATAAAATAATGAACAGTGTCCAGTTGCTGTAAGTAAGATCCCCTTAAATTTCAGTTTGATAAGGGGTTTGAGGCACTGATACTGCATGTTACATTATTTGCCGTCGTCATATCTGACTAATGGCAACCCTAGTATGGTTTCAAGATATGTGAGATATTTCAGGAGTGGTTTTATCAATGTTGGCCTTAGAGAGTTTTCATGGCTGAAATGGGATTTGAACCCAAGTCTCTTGAGTCCTAGTTCATCATTACTAGAATAAGCATGAAGCACCTAGCACCTGTCTTAAACAGAAATTCAAAACTAAATAATGAAGTTGGAAAGTGTGGTCAATATAAGCATGAAGCACCTAGCACCTGTCTTACACAGAAATTCAAAACTAAATAATAAGGAAGTTGGAAAGTGTGGTCAAATAAGGCAAAAGTAGCGAGAAACATACATCAGCCAAAGCACTGGTGCACAGTTACACAAAAAGTATAATCTTGGAAGTGAGTTGCCATGAGTTAAGAAACCTCCAATAAATATAATCCGTTGCACATAAAGCCACATGACTTAGCATTCAATGGATAATGTTTCAGGAATTCAGCCATTGTTTTATTAAACATTGTTTTGTAAAACATACTACAAACGAGGAACCAAAGTTCTTTTATTTACTGGAGAATGTGGGCTTACAGAATAATAGACAGATAGGTAAGCATATGAAATACTGTACAGTCCTTAAAAACATATTTTAATAACACATTTGGTGCTCGGTGCATGGAACAAAATCAATGGGATGCCTTAATGAAACCAAAACCTACAATCCCCTGATGCTGGCAGACAAATCTTGCTTCTCTGTGGATGCCTTTGACTTGCTCTGCTGAGCTTTGGCAGGTGATCACCAAGAAAGGGACTTCTCAATAGCAGAACCCTATCTTTCTCAGAGAGGCTTGAATATCTCTCTAGTGTAAGAAAAATACTATGACAAGAGTCTTGATGCCTTAATGAAACCAAAACCTACAATCCCCTGATGCTGGCAGACAAATCTTGCTTCTCTGTGGATGCCTTTGACTTGCTCTGCTGAGCTTTGGCAGGTGATCACCAAGAAAGGGACTTCTCAATAGCAGAACCCTATCTTTCTCAGAGAGGCTTGAATATCTCTCTAGTGTAAGAAAAATACTATGACAAGAGTCTTATTGAATTTTTACATGCATGCAAGAAGAATCATTGAATATCTCTCTAGTGTAAGAAAAATACTGTACTATGACAAGAGTCTTAATTGAATTTTTACATGCATGCAAGAAGAATCATGAAGTTATCATAGCTGATTAGGTGCTGTTTCCATCTTAGTCATACACCTGATTGAGAAGAAAAAGCAGTATTAATTCCCCCACTGAATTTTGTGAAAAATCCATTTTACATGTGGCTAGTAAGAGTAAATATCATGTGGGGCCTGTAGCATAATATTGCATTGTGGAATGCTCATATTCAGTATTTAAGTCAATTAGCTATGCCTTCCTCTATGACACTTCATTCTAGTCACTCAATATTCTGTGTATATTGAGCATGCTTCATTCTTACAGAGCAGTTTTGAGTTGTCACTTGACTATTCCCCACCACCCCTGAAGTGTTTGTTGCTGCTTTTGTGAATCTTCCTCAGGCCCTTTGCTGCCTCCCTCTCATGTATGGGTAAGATGACTTTGAATGCGTAAATATTAATTGCTAGAGAACTAAATTCACTTTACAGTTACATGGAATTATGTAGTTCAACACTTTTTGCGTAAGTTAACAATTTTGCTCCTAAATAAATATTGCTTTCTGCATGGCATCGTATGAGGCCATCAGGTGGGTTATCATGGTAGCAATTTCCCTTTCTTTCCTTTTTCAGCCAGTTGCACGTCCTCCAGTACCAGCTCATCAGGTTCCTCCTTACAAAGCTGTCTCGGCCAGATACCGCCCTTTCACCTTTTCTCAAAGCACACCCATTGGCCTGGACAGAGTTGGATGTAAGCGACAAATGAGAGCATCCAGCGGTGAGTATCATATGAAGCTAATCCAAAATAAATAACTAAACCTGCCAATTACTGTACTCAGAAATTGGCCTGATTGGTTGTGGTGTCAACACTTTTTTTTGTAGCTTCCACACAGGAGCCCCTATTGTGATCAGATTGCACTCCATGACATGTTGAACCTTACATGCAAATATGAAGGACTTTGGAGAATGAAAAATAAAAATGATGTAAAATCTGGCAGAAAGAGAATGCAATTTCAGATTCCAATAGGTTTAGCTGAACTGTGTTGGCAAATCACAAAGAGATGAGTGAAAACTCTGAGTAGATCAGCTTATTGGAACACGTTTTGGGGAAGTAACGTAACGGCAATTATAATTTGCTGTCACTATTTTATGTAGTTTCATCTGGATATAGATTTCGTATTATAAGCAGCTTTGGCTATGTAACAACACAGAAAGATAGGATACAAATGGACATGCATATGTAAATAAATAATATAACCCATGCTGTGAGTCCTAATTGGAAGGCTTCAATTAATTGGAAAGAAGCAAGAGTTCTATGGGGTGAAAGGAAAGAAATAAGTTTTCACAGATCCCCTGACAGCTCCCCATACCACCCCTTATAGGCTTCATTAGTTATTTAATTAGTTATTTGTAAGGAGGCTGCTGTACGTTTTGAATAGAATTAGTATAAGTTGATTTCGTACCTTAAGTTTCACTGTATCAAAGAATCTTCCACTAACAGTGCAAAGTAATTGGATTACAGTATTTTCTGGGACATCAATCTTATCAAAAATCCAGTGGGAAACCATTATCTCAGATTGTATGTGTACGTGTGTAAAACACTCACTTCCCAGAATTTGGCAAGATTTGTATAAATTGTCAGTTTCAGTCACAAAAAATGTATGCCAAAATGTCATTTTATTGTGATCATGATTGGTCAGCTGAAACCTGGTATTATCCTGAAGGCTGTTACAAAAATGATATTAAGTTTATTAATTGGGTTAAATTGGCTATTTGGTATAGATCTTAATTATGTTACTGTTGAGTCTCCTTTCCATTGTTTTTTAAATCTGGTATTTTATGTAATCTCCCGTTCACGGGTTGATGCCTTGTCATGGCAAAGGGGCTTGAGTAATTCAGAGAAGCTATGGGCTATGCCATACAGGGACACCCAAGACAGACATGTTATAGTGGAGAGTTCTGACTAAACATAATCCCCCTAGAGCAGGAACTGGCAAGCCACTCCAGTATCTTTGCCAAGAAAACTCCATGGACAGAAACAAAAGGCTAAAAGATATGATGCTGGAAGATGAGCCCCTCAGGTCGGAAAGCATCCAACATGCTACTGAGGAAGAGCAGAGGACAAGGACAAGTAGCTCCAGAGAGAATGAAGTGGTTGGGCCAAAGCCGAAAGGACACTCAGCTATGGACACGCCTGGAAGTGAAAGGAAAGTCCGATGCTGCAAAGAAAAATACTGCATAGGAACCTGGAATGTAAGATCTATGAACCTTGGGAAGCTGGAGGTGGTCAAACAGGAGATGGCAAGAATAAACATCGACATCCTGGGCATCAGTGAACTAAAATGGACAGGAATGGGTGAATTCAGCTCAGATGATTATCATATCTACTATTGTGGGCAAGAATCCCGTAGAAGGAATGGAGTAGCCCTCATAGTCAACAAAAGAGTGGGAAAAGCTGTAATGGGATACAATCTCAAAAAGGATAGAATGATGTCAATACGAATCCAAGGCAGACCATTCAACATCACAATAATCCAAGTTTATGCACCAACCACCACTGCTGAGGAGACTGAAATTGAACAGTTTTATGAAGATTTACAACACCTTCTAGAACTGACACCAAAGAAAGATGTTCTTCTCATTCTAGGGGACTGGAATGCTAAAGTAGGGAGCCAAGAGATAAAAGGAACAACAGGGAAGTTTGGCCTTGGAGTTCAGAACGAAGCAGGACAAAGGCTAATAGAGTTTTGTCAAGAGAATAAGCTGGTCATCACAAACACTCTTTTCCAACAACACAAGAGGCGACTCTACACATGGAAATCACCAGATGGGCAATATCGAAATCAGATTGATTATATTCTCTGCAGCCAAAGATGGAGAAGCTCTATACAGTCAGCAAAAACAAGACCTGGAGCTGACTGCGGTTCTGATCATCAGCTTCTCATAGCAAAATTCAAGCTTAGACTGAAGAGAGTAGGAAAAACCACTGGGCCACTCAGGTATAATCTAAACCAAATCCCTTATGAATACACAGTGGAAGTAAAGAACAGATTTAAGGAACTAGATTTGGTGGACAGAGTGCCTGAAGAACTTTGGATAGAGGCTCGTAACATTGTCCAAGAGGCAGCAACGAAAACCATCCCAAAGAAAAGGAAATGCAAGAAAGCAAAGTGGCTGTCCAACGAGGCCTTAGAAATAGCAGAGAGGAGAAGGGAAGCAAAATGCAAGGGAGATAGGGAAAGTTACAGAAACTTGAATGCAGACTTCCAAAGAATAGCAAGGAGAGACAAGAGGGCCTTCTTAAATGAACAATGCAAAGAAATAGAGGAAGATAACAGAAAAGGAAAGACCAGAGAGCTGTTCAGGAAAATTGGAGATATTAGAGGAACATTTTGCGCAAAGATGAACATGATAAAAGACAAAAATGGGAAGGACCTAACAGAAGCAGAAGACGTCAAGAAGAGGTGGCAAGAATACACAGAGGAATTATATCAGAAAGATGTGGATATCCCGGACAACCCAGACAATGTAGTTGCTGACCTTGAGCCAGACATCCTGGAGAGCGAAGTCAAGTGGGCCTTAGAAAGCCTGGCTAACAACAAGGCCAGTGGAGGTGATGGCATTCCAATTGAACTATTTAAAATCTTGAAAGATGATGCTGTTAAGGTGCTACATTCAATATGCCAGCAAGTTTGGAAAACTCAACAGTGGCCAGAGGATTGGAAAAGATCAGTCTACATCCCAATCCCAAAGAAAGGCAGTGCCAAAGAATGCTCCAACTACCGTACAATTGCACTCATTTCACACGCTAGCAAGGTTATGCTCAAAATCCTACAAGGTAGGCTTCAGCAGTATGTGGACCGAGAACTCCCAGAAGTACAAGCTGGATTCCGAAGAGGCAGAGGAACTCGAGACCAAATTGCTAACTTGCGCTGGATTATGGAGAAAGCCAGAGAGTTCCAGAAAAATATCTACTTCTGCTTCATTGACTATGCAAAAGCCTTTGACTGTGTGGACCACAGCAAACTATGGCAAGTTCTTAAAGAAATGGGAGTGCCTGACCACCTTATCCATCTCCTGAGAAACCTATATGTGGGACAGGAAGCAACAGTTAGAACTGGTCATGGAACAACTGAGTGGTTCAAAATTGGGAAAGGAGTACGGCAAGGCTGTATATTGTCCCCCAGCTTATTTAACTTATATGCAGAATACATCATGCGGAAGGCTGGACTGGAAGAAACCCAAGCCGGAATTAAGATTGCCGGAAGAAATATCAACAACCTCCGATATGCAGATGATACCACTCTGATGGCAGAAAGTGAGGAGGAATTAAAGAACCTTGTAATGAGAGTGAAAGAGGAAAGTGCAAAAAACGGTCTGAAACTCAACATCAAAAAAACTAAGATCATGGCCACTGGTCCCATCACCTCCTGGGAAATAGAAGGGGAAGATATGGAGGCAGTGTCAAATTTTATCTTCCTGGGCTCCATGATCACTGCAGATGGAGACAGCAGCCCTGAAATTAAAAGACGCCTTCTTCTTGGGAGGAAAGCGATGACAAATCAGTAGCGATGTATGGAAGTGAGAGCTGGCCCATAAAGAAGGCTGACCGCTGAAGAATTGATGCTTTTGAATTGTGGTGCTGGAGGACACTCTTGAGAGTCCCCTGGACTGCAAGGAGAACAAACCTATCTATTCTAAAGGAAATCAACCCTGAGTGCTCACTGGGAGGACAGATCCTGAAGCTGAGGCTCCAATACTTTGGCCATCTCATGAGAAGAAAAGACTCCCTGGAAAATACCCTGATATTGGGAAAGTGTGAAGGCAACAGGAGAAGGGGACGACAGAGGACAAAGTGCTTGGACAGTATCAATGAACTACCATCATGAATTTAACCAAACTCTGGGAGGTAGTGGAAGACCTGGCGTGCTCTGGTCCATGGGGTCACAAAGAGTCGGACACGACTTAACGACTAAACAACAACAATTTTATGTAATTTAACTTTTGAAAACCTGGGATTTAATGCCAAAACAGTTAAAATATTATATAATCTTTATACATTTCTTAGAATTTGTAAACAAGATTTGTGAGTGATGCTATTATTTTCACTAGGGATTTTGTAAGTATATGTATTGCACATTCTACATGACTCTATAAATGTGCATTAATAAATCATGACCAATCTAGCATGGCAGCAATCCAGACAATCAAGATAGGAAAGGCTTTTAGGAGCAAAGTGATGCTTTTTCCTGCAATAGTATACTCCACCTTTATATTACATGCTTGTGGCATACAACATTTGTGCAATTTACTCGTATTTTTCCAAGCAACTTGTTTCCTATCAGCGTGTCATCCATTATTGTAAAATACATTTTTATATACAGAATAGTTACGATAAGGCCCTTCAAGCATAATTGAGCTTTTCCCTATTAATGATGATTACTATTGGAAATATTTTTCTCTCCTTTTGGTATCTCCCTCTCTTTTATGTGCCCACAATATTGTGTATTCACAATATTAAATTAGTAATGTAGTGGCTGACTGGCTACACCTGAAAACCAGATTCTGAGCACAGACAATTTGAAGAGGGCTCTTGCCTTCAGGCCCTCCTTCCCTTCCAGGGCCATTTAATTGGTCAGTGGTGGAAACAGATAGTGAATAAAAACACACACTAGGATTATTTGTTGCTAGTGTAGGTCAGATGGCAATTTTTTGATAACTGGGCCCATCCACCTTCAAATGATAGAGAAATGCAAGTTTTTGCAAATGAGACTGTCA